TCAATGCCTGGGTTCAGTGCCTTAACTATTCACCTGGATTGTCAATGCCTGGGTTCAGCATCTTCACCAGGATCGTCAATGCCTGGGTTCAGTGCCTTAACTATTCACCTGGATTGTCAATGCCTGGGTTCAGCATCTTCACCAGGATCGTCAATGCCTGGGTTCAGCGTCTTAACTGTTCACTAGGATCGTCAATGCCTGGGTTCAGTATCTTTACTGTTCACCTGGATTGTCAATGCCTGGGTTCAGCGTCTTAACTGTTCACCAGGATCGTCAATGCCTGGGTTTAGCGTCTTAACTGTTCATTAGGATTGTCAATGCCTGGGTTCAGCATCTTTACTGTTGATCATGATCGTCAATGCCTGGGTTCAGCGTCTTAACTGTTGACCAGGGTCGTCAATGCCTAGGTTCAGTGTCTTAACTGTTCACTAGGATTGTCAATGCCTGGGTTCGGCGCTTTAACTGTTCACTAGGATTGTCAGTGCCTAGGTTTGGCACCTTAACTGTTCACCAGGCTTCGTTTCTTTATTTTGGGACCTTTGTTTATTCAGAGAATTGTCGATTTTCACATTACTTAGACAATCTGGGTACTTGTGGTTTTTGTAGAAAATATAACTATATTTGGATCCTCAAGAAACTATGTTATCGTAGAAAAATCTCTTTAACTTTCCGTTTACTTGGATGAGTTAATGCATTCATTTCGAAATCCATAGCTTCTACTCTTAACTTTGGAGGTAGCTAGGATGGGACATGGAATTCATTTGTGGGAAGAGTATGTTATCGTAGAAAAATCTCTTTAACTTTGGAGGTAGCTAGGATGGGACATGGAATTCATTTGTGGGAAGAGTATGTTATCGTAGAAAAATCTCTTTAACTTTGGAGGTAGCTAGGATGGGACATGGAATTCATTTGTGGGTAGAGTTTGTGAAGTCTTTAACAAAATTTAATATTCTAGTGGTGGATTATGAACAACATAATCTCAAAAGTGATTTATACTCCATATTCCTTACTTTGGTGGTTGGTCATAGGACATGATCAACAGAAATTCACTCCATATTCCTTACTTTGGTGGTTGGTCATAGGACATGATCAACAGAAATTCACTCCATATTCCTTACTTTGGTGGTTGGTCATAGGACATGGTCAACAGAAATTCACTCCATATTCCTTACTTTGGTGGTTGGTCATAGGACATGATCAACAGAAATTCCTTCTTTGGTCTTTAGACGCAATAGGCTATATGTGCAGTGTCCACCGAGGAGAAACGAACCTCGAATTTCAGCACATAAGCCCTCATACTTACTGCTGATCCACTAGGGACATATTATTCTGGTTAACATGCAGATTTCATGTTTCTTCAAGCGTGATTTCCTTGTTTACAATAAATTCGCAAGAAAACTTTAAAGATTAATATTTGAAATGAAGGTAAGAGAGAAATTGTCATTCTTGTTTGTTTTATATTTTACTCAGGATTGACACGTGTGTTAAATGGTTGTGGTTTTAAATTTGATGTGATACTTTCAGCTTGTAGTTTTGATTTAAATGTAGAGGTAAATATACGTAAGAAACTGTTGTATATCATGTTCTAATCTATGACTGTTGTATTATCTACATCATACTCGAAGTTTAAAAAAATAAAACAATTTAACAAGATATTACCGCAGTAGTAACGTGTGTGTGTGTTTTGTTAAAAATTTTCAGAATGATTCAAATAAAAGCTAAGGCGTCATATTTCTTAGTTTGGCTCTGTAATATGTTATGGTAATTTTTTTAATTCTCTACGCGCAATTGAAAACTAAAGTTGCTTTGAAAGGCTACTAAAACAGAGATTTGTAATTATCATATGTCAAAGCTCGAGATTTTAAATACCGTCGCTAATGTTTGTTCGAATAGAAAAGATTCCGACTCTGTCTGCTTGAAAGTACGTGAGACGTTTGTAACTACAACTCTTGCGCCATCTATTGAATGGCACCACAAACAAAAATCCATAAAAAAAATCACACTTTGGGTATTCAAGATTCAGACAAGTAACTGGTATGGTATGTGCAACAACCATTTCTTTATAATAGAAGACGAGTTGAAATAAAAGTACTCACAACAAGAACACAACTTTTACTAGGACTGTATGTAAGGGTTTGACTATATTTTTATTGATGAAATTTTTAAATGTAGTACTGAGAAAATGGAGTTCTTTAAAAAACTATTATTTTGTCATTAAAGGATGCCACTTTTAATATATAAAAATATACCAGTTTACATCAGTAAGATTTATGATAATTTTGAGCTCTGTACATTGAATTATTTTGATGCAATGAGTTGCTTATGACTAAAGAGCACAATCCAAAAACTTTTCCCCTGCAGTACTCCCCAGGAAAAAGTCCTTTTTTTTTAGAAAATGTTCATTTTCCTAATTTCTTTTTTCAATGAATACTACGCTTAGAAAAACAGCCGCCCATAGGGTGGCGTTTCTGCTACTATATACACGTTTGCTGATATTTTAACAGTAACTAATAAAACAAAAAACATTTAGAACTAGTAACAAATTACAGGGTAATTAATTTATAGAAAATAACAGTTTTTGGTTGTTAAGCGCAAAGCTACACAATGGATTATCTGTGCCTTGCCCACCTCAATTCCCCCAAATCTAATTTTAAAGTTATATGTCCATGTACCACCGAGAAGTAAAAATAACACCATCGATTGAAGATTATTCGTTTTATTATATATTAAAACTAATTCTAAAAATAAATTTATATAATTGATGAAGTTACTGGAAGAAAATGACAGAATTAAATAAAATGTTAAAGTATTTCAGTGGGCACTAAGATCAGTAAGATTAATGAACAACTCAATCATGTGTAAATTC